AAAAAAAAAAAACAATAACACTCAAAATATACCAAAGAAATACGGAAAAGAAAATAACAAAAAAATAATTTTGTTCCAGATCACTCACTGGCACAGCCCGAAATTTCACGCATATTTTCCAACAGCCCAATCGTATCCAGCAATCGTTGCTGACATGCTCAGCGGTGCCATTGCTTGCATAGGATTCTCTTGGGTAGAAATAATTGATTAAATCAATATAATAATAAATTTCATCTTCGTCTCTTCCTCCAAATGTATACGTTTTAAATTTTCCACGCAGTTGGCAAGTCCCGCCTGCACCGAATTGGAAGTACTGATGTTGGACTGGCTAGGAAAAATGTTAGACTTGCCGAAAGAGTTTCTAGCTTGTGGCGGTGGAAAAGGAGGGGGTGTCATTCAGGTAATTTCCTCGATCGATTGCTCTAGAACGTTGACTAAAAGTCGAGATAAACGCACGATAAACGATAATTTAATTGATCAATTTCGCGTACATACAGGGAACTGCGAGCGAAGCCACTTTAGTCGCGCTTCTCGCTGCAAAGGTTAGAAAAATAAGGCAGGTCAAGGAACAACATCCTAACTGGACGGATAACGAGATCGTGGGAAAATTAATCGCTTACACATCCTGTAAGTAATAATAAACTCTTTCCCCGTGTTATTAAAATTCAAAAACGCGGTTCATCGTGTCATCTTACGATATTTATCGATTTATTTTGACTTGTATAACGTATAGATATGTAGACAGCGAACCTGTAACGATATTTCGTAAACTCTATCGATATACGAAATTCGTTTGTCGACGAAATTTCAAAATTACGATACATTTTCGCGAAAAAGAAAAAGAAAGTGGAAATTATTTTTTTTTTTTTATAATTCCTTTCGAGAATAATTTCGGAAAAATAATAAACAAAGGGATCGATGTGGGATAAAAAATTCGAGATCGTAGCCAACCGAGATTTTCTGTAAACAAGATTAACGATGACGTTGGCCGGCGCTCTTTAACATTTGACAAAGGCACGCGACGAGCACGATGGGGGATGGGGATGGATGACAAGCCGAGGGTTGGGGCCACTTCATCAGCCAGCACTTTGTCACCATGGCAACGCGTAATAACCACTCGAGTTATTTCAACCCTGTCACCCTTCGCCACCCACCTCCACCCCCTTCAACCGTTCTGCGCTCCTGTTACCTCTTCTCCACGATGGCACGTCGAATAGCGAAAATCCTCGGGTAAAAGCGTTTCGCGATTTTCCAATTCTCCAACTTGCAACTCACCCTCCGTCCATCAACTGTGAATAGAAAAGAGAATAATATCCCGTCCCACGACAGGGGATTGCTATTCTTTCCGTAACGGGAGGTGTTTCTTCTCCTATCTTTTTCCTTTGTCCCTTTTTGTTACCTATTTATTCCCCGTTGAAGTGATTGTTGTTGGTTATTATACCATCGAAAAGGATTCGTAATAATAATTTCGATTGTTCAAGTCGACACGATTGGCCGATATAAAGACGGATAACATTTTTTTGAAGATAAATTTTTTCTCTTTCAGGTCAAGCTCATAGTTCCGTGGAACGAGCCGGCCTCCTAGGAGGTGTAAAATTCCGTCTGCTAGAGGTAGATTCTAAATATAAACTTCGTGGCGAGTCGTTAGCGGAAGCCATCCGCAAAGACAAGGAGCAAGGGTTTATACCGTTCTACGTAAGCTTTTCGTTCATTCGTCGGTTTGCACGGAAAATTAATTGATCTAATTTTAAAATTGAAATTCGTTGTACAGGTCGTGGCCACCCTGGGAACAACTTGCTCGTGCGCATTCGATCGCCTCGATGAAATAGGTGTCGTCGCGAATCGCGAGAATGTTTGGTTGCACGTTGATGCAGCTTATGCTGGTAATTGAGCGAGAAATGCAACTCGACAATTCGACGATAACAAGTCAGAATTCATTTCTTTATAATTTCAGGCACCGCCTTCATATGCCCGGAATTCCGATATCTAATGAAGGGAATCGAATTGGCAGATTCCTTCAATTTTAACCCGCACAAGTGGATGCTGGTGAATTTCGATTGCTCGGCCATGTGGCTGAAAGATCCGACTTATATAATCAACGCCTTTAACATGGATCCCCTGTACCTAAGATCCGATATACAAGGATCTCTTCCTGATTACAGGGTAAACGTTCATTTTTTGTTTTTTTGTTTTTATGAGAGAACAAAATTTTTAATAGAAAAAATTTTTTTTTACTCAGCATTGGCAAATCCCATTGGGAAGAAGATTCAGAGCATTAAAGCTTTGGTTCGTCTTGAGGATTTATGGCGTGGAGAATCTTCAACGATACATCAGAAACCACATCAATCAGGCTCATGAATTTGAAGCGTTCGTTCTATCGGATCCACGATTTGAAATCGTAGCGGAGGTCATTTTAGGACTCGTCTGTTTCC